CCCTTCTTCTTCTCCCACAGGGGTGCATCTCCTAAACCCCAAAGGTCCCCGCGAGATTTGCAACCAGGGGAGCAATGGGCAGCAGCAGCTTATCTGGGTACCCCTGACCCTGTCCCCAAGGCCCCCTTTTCTCTGACTTCCCAGTGAGCCGAAGCAGCCAGCCTTGGTCAGTGTCTCTCCTGTAACCTCTCTAGAGAGCAAAGCCGCCCGGCCAGGCTCCCCTGCAGCTTCTTCTATCCGCCGCCCTTCCCGGTTCCAGTCCCAGCCTTAACAAATGTCATCTAAGGAAACCACCGACTCTTTATAGTAAATGTCCCCGACTTAACCAGCTTGTTACCAGAGGGGTTACGAAAGCCTCAGAGACGTTTCTCTGTCTCCCTTCCTCCCTCTGCTCCCTCCCCTTTTCCGCCACACTCTGCGGGAGCCACACCTCAAGTGCTTTTGAAGTAAACAAGAATCACCATAAAACATAATGTCAGGGCATGGCTTCCAGGGTGACTGGGAGGCCAGCTCTCAGTTGGCAGGTGGGCTGGCTGGAACAGAAGCCCGCTGGCTGGCTTCTTCTTGGTTGTGTCAGTCAGAGCATCTGGCAACAGGCAGACTCCCAGACCAGAGCTGTCTGGCGTGAGGACTGAAGCCTGTGGGAGAGGATGCAAGGCTCCCAGGTCCAAAGTCCTAAAGGCAGGGAAGCAGTTGTGTGAAGGGGCCTGGACTGGGCTTGGAAGTCCTAGCTTCCTGGCTCAGTATTGCCAGGTGCCTGCTGTGTGGCTTTGGGCAAGTTACTCAACCTCTCTGCTCCAGGTTCATTCACGCTGTCACAAAGGGTAAGATTTCCTTCTTTTTTACCACCAAGTAGTAGTCCATTGTTTAAATGCACCACAGCCTTTTTATCCACTCACCACTGATGGGCACTTGGGCTGTTTCCAAAACTTGGCTATTGTAAATAATACTACAATGAACATAGGGGTGCATTATTCTTTCAAATTAGTGTTTCAGATTTCTTTGGATATATTCCCAGAATTGGAATTGCTGGGTAA